GTTATTCAGACCTTGTATGTAAGGAGTAGGATTTTCAATTTGAATCTGGAGCCAATGAAGAGACGCCAATATATAACGTTAATGTTGGAGCTAGACAGAAAAATATTACCACTCCTTCCTATCTGTAACATAAATACAGTTTTAACTTAGCAGAGTAACACTTATTTGTGTCAAAAATCTGTTACAGGAAGCTGCACAACATCTGCCAGTAAATAGAAATAAGCAGTGGCAGTCTACCACCTCTAATCAGCAATGAAAATATCACACCAAGTTATCAGAAGCACAGAAAATATACCACAGAAAATAAAGCTTTGTGTAGCATATTAAAGGGCAACCAAGTTTGTTTTGTGATGTGCCTTCCTCCCCCCCAAATTTGGGACAACTATCTGATTACCATATTTCCCGGACTACAAAGCGCACCTGAATATTAGCCGCACAAGCTAAAATCAGGGGAAAATCCTGTTTTGTACATACATTAGCCGCACCTGACTAAAAGCCGCAGGTGTTTCAATGTTGACTTATCTTATGTAAGAGAATATGCACAAAGGGAATTGTCAGGAAAGAGATGGCTGTTTGAAGACACACCCCTTTTATTAATATTTTGAAAAACAAGTTATGGGTACATATCACATGCCCTTCCGCCAGGCAACGTAGTGCCGTACAACAGCGGAACAAACAAAACAAATCGTCTTACGATATGACAAAAATCATGGACAATCCATAAAAAAGCCGCACCTGACTAAAAGCCGCAGGGTTCAAAGCTTGTGCAAAAAGTAGCGGCTTATAGCCCAACAATTACGGTAACTATGAGATAATTCTCTTGCTCTAATTCTAAAAGTGTTCTATTATATATACAAATAAATACACCGTATGGAACTTGTTCACTTTTAGAGTGGCCAATTGGCTTTGCTCATAATGTGTAAAAGTTATTGAGCCAGTGCTCCAGTTGTAAATAAAACAGGTAAATTAACTTCATCTAAGTAAGCTACATGTTCCACTTTTTACAGACATAACAAGGCAGCCTTTGTAAATACAGTTTGAGGGAATTCCCCCAACTACATGCAGTGAATGTGGAAGTATATTGCACCGATACTGAGAGAAGAACTACGTACCTGCCTGATATCACAGATGTTCTTAGGCAGGTAAAACAATCCAATTGAGAACCTTTGGAGATGGATGGCGAGGGAAGTTTATAAAAATGGACAACAGTTCTGGACAGTAGATGCCCTTCTTGCAGCTGTCTTCACCACTTGGAGAAATGTTCCCACTCACCTCATAGAAACACTTGCATCAAGCACACCACAACAAATATTTAAAATGATCAACAATAACGGTGGAGCTACTCATTTCTGAGTTCATTTTTGGAACTTTGATTTCTGTTTTGTGGGGGTTTACGGGGTTGTTGTTTTTTTGGAGGTGTGGTCCTAAGCATTTGATCAGCTGTAAAACAGCCTGTTTCAGTTTAAGCGTTGTTTTCAATAAATTGCATGCCACAAAAATGTTTTGTTAAATGAGTTAAATTGAGTTAAATGCAGAGCAGATTTAACTATTTGGTTTCAGGCTTGATGAATTGCAGGGATGTAGATTGAAGCTTAATTTATGTTACTATGATTGCTGTACTTTACAATACTTCATTAAATTGAGTTTCTTATTCTTTAAAAGTTAAATGTGAGGTCAATTTTAAAATACAGGTGCTGGTCATATAATTAGAATATCATCAAAAAGTTGACGTATTTCACTAATTCTATTTACAAAGTGAAACTTGTATAATGTATACAATTATTCCACACAGACTGATATATTACAAGTGTTTATTTCTTTTAATTTTGATGATTATAACTGACAACTAATGAAATTCAGTATTTTAGAAAAGTAGAACATTGTGAAAAGGTTCAATATTGAAAACACCTGGTGCCACACTCTAATCAGCTAATTAACTCAAAACACCTGCAAAAGCCTTTAAAGAAAATCTCAGTCCAGTTCTGTAGGCTACACAATCATGGGGAGCACTGCTGACTTGACAGTTGATGACCACTGGGCACAAGGAGGGCAAGACACAAAAGGGTATTGCAAAAGAAGCTGGCTGTTCACATAGCTCTGTGTCCAAGTAAATTAGTAGAGAGGCGAGGGGAAGGAAAAGATGTGGTCGAAGAGAGGAAAGGCACAGAATCCACGTTGCTTGAGGTCCAGTGTAAAGTTTCCACAGTCAGTGATGGTTTGGGGTGTCATCTGCTGGTGTTGCTCCACTGTGTTTTCTGAGGTCCAAGATCAACACAGCCGTATACCAGGAAGTTTTAGAGCACTTCATGCTGCTGACCAGCTTTATGGAGATGCACACAGTGCCAAAGCTACCAGTAGCTGGTTTAAGGACCATGATAGATGGTTGCTCTCATGGTGTCATGAGAACAACCTGGGCTCTCATGACACCTGAGCAGTGCCACAGACTGATCAAATCCATGCCATGCTGCACTGGTGCAGTAATTCAGGCAAAAGGAGCCCGACTAAGTATTGAGTGCTGTACATGTTCATACTTTTCATGTTCATACTTTACAGATGGCCAAGATTTCTAAAAATCCTTTCTTTGTATTGGTCTTAAGTAATATTCTACATTTCTTAGATTATACACCCCTACTAGAGCACTAAGATCATCTTCCCAGTCACTCTTGGTACTCCCGAGATCCCGGCTGAAGACTAGAGGTGACCGCGCGTTTGCCTTGGCTGCACCTAATTTATGGAATAACCTCCCCATCGCTATACGCAAGTCTGATTCCATCCATTCCTTCAAATCGCGGTTAAAAACCCACTTATTTAGCCTCGCCTTTTCTACCAGTTAACGCCTGCTTGTCAGTTAGCTTAATGCTTATTCTTATCTTTGGCTTATTCTTAATTACTTTTAATCATTTTTAATTTTGACTGTTTTATCCTTTACACTTAGTTTCCTTATGCAATTCTTTTGCTTTTGTGTTTTAATGCCATTCAACCTGCTAGCATGTTTTGGTACCTTGCCATAGCCCTCATCCTTCCCTGTTACTTCATCCTACTCGCTTGCATGTTAAGCACTTTGGTACACCACTGTTTTTTAAATGTGCTATATAAATAAAGTTTGTTGTTGTTTTCTGAGATACTGAATTTGGGTTTTTCATTAGTTGTCAGTTTTAATCATCCAAAATTAAAAGCAATAAACACTTAAAATATATCAGTCTGTGTGGAATGAATGTATACATTATACAAGTTTCACTTTTGATATTCTAATTCTATGACCAGCACCTGTATAGGCAAAGACCTGTTCAATGTTTCACAGTGAGTGCTCTTTTTATATAGTAGGGTAACCAATATCCAAAATTAACCTTTCATTGATCATCTTCTCCTAAAATAGTTACATTATTCAGGTGTGTAAACTATTGTTTGTTGAACTCTATTGAGTCTAATAATAATAATTCTAATAAAATAATCATTTAAAAAAATCAGTATATCAAAATAAAACAATTCGTAAGACAAAAACTAATGAAAAAAAATCTTACATATTTACTGTGTTAGCTCTTATTAATAATTTTTAAAATTAGATGAAAATTAACAACCTAATTTTCATCTTGTTGTAGGATGGGTTAAAATGACCCCTCTGGTAGTTTTATGGTGTTTGAAATTCTAACAAACAAACAACTGTAATATTTGATGACAAATTTGTAATTAGATTGAACTGTTCACAGACTTCCATGCTATTGTATACTTTGGGAGACACTGGCTGAGGGCTGTTCATCAGTGCCCTTTGAATAAAAAACAAAACAAAAACAAAATAGAAAGAAATCAGCCAAGTGCCAATTAGTGAGCCCCTAATCCTAATGTAATAAACTGAAGTGTAAGAGTGCACAGTACAGAGTCTGCAAAAACCCATGAGGGCATTTGTCAAACTGGAATTTCTCCAAGCAACCAATAGCCAAGTGAGTTCTCCCTGTACCAACGTCCTGTCAGTCAGACAGTAAAAAGTAACAGGATCTACAAAGCTCTGTATGCTACCTACAGACTATCACCACACTGCAAGGCCAAGCATCAGCCTGCCTCTGCTGATCCTTGCCCCATAAATGGCCCTCTTACCTCTGGCCATATTATACACACAATACATTATTTTCTTTTACTTTGAAGTTACGTGGTGTTAAACAATTCTGGTTACAAAGTAACAGGTGACAGTAGTCACTTGCTTGACATCTGCAAACTGTGAGCTATTCATAGGCCTAACTTGGTAAAGTTATCTTGGCATCCTAAAAAAAACTGCAGGTCTCTGTGACAGGTCGATCCCCAGATATTTGAGGAACTCACATAAGTGCAGTTGAAAATTACTCAGTCTATCTAGAGCTGCAACAATAAGATCATTAAATAATGCTCTGAGAAGTCTGATCTGCCCGTGTTCTAAGAATGAAATAACGTATTACTGTTTCCTCCATCCGCTTCATGTCATTGACAAGTACAACTGGTCTCAAGAAAAATCGCCTCACGAACGGTTAAAAACGTATATACCAACACAACAATGACAGTTATAAATACATCTACTGACCCAAAAACAAACACTGGGTTAGTATGCGGTGCAGTTATCGATCTTATGCTTTAAGTTGGCATACAGAATTACTGGTATAAGATCCACGACGCCTCCCCAAAGTCATTACATGTAACTATACGTAAAGAGCTGAACTGTCTGTGACTGCGTACCTATTTACATGAAGTTCTGTGGGTCATTCCACACACGTAACTACCAGCAGGTATCTGCACTCTCCCCTTTTCAGTGGGCTGTATCTATTTGACCTAAAAAGGGGTTTTCACTTCTATTTTAAAGGATCTCTTCTTCGTAAGTTACTTTTTTTACTGAATTCCAGCTCGAGAGGATATGAAATGCGTCCGGTCACAAAAACACAGTAAAAGAAAAAGAAACACGCCACAGAGTTTGGCCGCTGTTCTGCGTGAACATCTTGACAGGATATAAGCCTCGTGGTATTCGTGCGTGGACTCACCTCTGCAAACTGGCTTCACCTTTTGCTGCTGCTCTGAGTAATAAACACAGCCGCGGTCTTTAGGCGACTCAATAAGATGTGCCGCTTCTTGTTATCAGCAGCTGTGTGTGCGCATCGCTTGGGTTTCCGTTCTAAAAAAAAAACAAACACTTCCTCCGCTTAAGAACTCATACTGAGAAACGGAGCTCACACAGGTTCTCTGATAACTGGAAGTGAGAACAACTGCCTCTTCCCGCTGCCTCCATTCAACAGGCTGCAGTACCGGCTGCAACCGACGCTGCCACGCGTGACCTTCAAAATAAAAGTCGAATTTGTTAGAAATCAAGTTTTGTGGTGGAATGGATTCACAGTACAACCTCACAACACTTGCACCTGAAATTTATTCGCAGAAAACACGTTGCACAAAGCAGAGATATGCAAAGGTATATAGTTAAACCTCTATATAATTCTATATATAATATAGTGTTGGATTATTAATTGCCTTTTTCAGAAGACCTTTACGCCTGATTCTGTGATTTACATGAAATTATTAGGCTAATTAGAAAGCAATATAAGAATAAAAGTGGTTACTATTACTTTTTTTTTTTAATTCTTAGAACACATAACCATTTCAAAAGCAACCACAGTTGAGCACCGAGTGTAATAAGTGCTTAGTGGACACATGTCCAACACCAGTTTTATGTACTTTTCATTTGTTTATTAATGTGTGAAACTGTATGCTAAAGCGGAATGCTAATGGATGCTCTGCCGTAGTGTGCTGTGCGGAGTGGTGTGTGGCGAGCCATTTGCACTGATACAACACCGTTGTTTCCATTCAGGTACATCACTTGTTGTTGCTGTTATTTTATTGTATACTAAAAATTGTAATATGGCTGCAGTAATCGCTGCCAGTCTGCCGTAGCCATACGAGAGTGTGCTGTGCGGAGTGGTGTGTGGCGAGCCATTTGCACTGATACAACACCGTTGTTTCCATTCAGGAAATAAAGTGGCAACGATCGATCAGAGACTCCTTGTCTTTTTAAAAACACAACACAACGCAGAGTCGAGGAGTCTGTTTGGGCCGAACTGTTGCAGCGGGATGAAGCAGAAACCGGTTACACTGATGATTCAGTAGCTTAAAAAACATGTTTAACAGCAATAACTTGGAGTAATAATTTTCTGTATGACTTTATCAGTCTCTCATGTTATTGTGGAGGACTTTTGGCACACTCTTCTTTACAGTGTTGCTTCAGTTAATTGAGATTTGCAGGCTTTTGTTTATACACAGCCCTACAGTATTTTAATTATGTTGAGGTCAGAAGGCTATAGTACAAAGCAGCATTCTGTCTCATCCAGCTAAGTTCAGGGTTAAACCCTGGGCTTTCTGTAGTATGCCAGTGGTAACTTCTTACCAGGATGTATAGGTATGGTAACTTATGTGGCGACCTTAACTTTGTCTGAAGCAGTTTAGATACGATCCAGATAAGGATCAACAGGTACGAAATCACTGCCTACTGAAACCTACACCGTCCTTGATGACCTCATATCAAACTTGTACACAGACGATGTTTGAATTTTGTTCTCAGAATTAATCTTTACTCTGAACCCCTTTAATAGCACCAAGTCTTCTACTGAGAGAATAAAAACTAGAACATCAAGAGCAGACGAGTTTCCGAGTTTCAGTTTTAAATTGTCTGAAATTTCTTTACAGCATGTTTTAAGTATGATTGTTAATTTTTGACTTTGTATATTCACATTTAAGCATAGCCCCAGTGTGTGCTGGCCCTGGTAGAGGCTGGAGACCTGTCTACGGTTTGTGCTGGTATGCTGTATTTGGCTGCACCACACTGGCAACCTGGCGTCCAGGGTGTTACCTGCCTCTCAACCTATGGTAGCTCTTCATAAAGATAGGACTCGCAACCCAGTCTGCCAAACCAGAGGCACCGTCCCAGATCTTCTACAGAAGGCGTATTAGCAGGATTGAGGGGATCCCTCCATGGTCGATTATATCCTCAGTAGAAGTCTGCAGCACCCCACTTCCACTGTACACAGTATGAGCAGAGTTTTCCTACTGAGTTTCCTGAGGGTTTGCCAGAATTACATCAAGACCAACTGAAAGTCAAGTCCAGTGGCCTCGCAGATTTAATCCCACACCTGAGTTTTTGCTTCAGCTACTTCCACAGCTCAGGAACTCAGTATTCCTGCTGTGGCAAGGATTGCCAAAAAAAGGTTGTATGATGGGTCAGGATAATGTTTTCTAATAATAGCAACAGGAAGGTATTATTTTCAGTGTTTTGTGCCTGTTTTTGTTTTGTTTTGTTTTGAGCAGTACAGTGTGATTTTTTTTTTTTTGTTGGACATATTACTAAATATAAGCATTAAAGACTGTTTGTTTAGGATCTTGACTGCCTTTCTGCTGATTGCTATGTAGTTAGCAGGACTAAGATGCTATACAGCGGCATCAGCAAAAGTAGTATTGGATAAATATTAATAACCATTCAGAGAAACCGTAGAGTATCTATGGGCAGACTTGAGACTTAATTACTACTATAGTGATGATGTCAGAAATCCTGCTTGGACTGAGACCTTACTGTTCTCACATTCCCATCCTTGGGAGCCAACATGGGACTGAAGGCCACATGACAAAAATACTATGATGACCAGATTTCTCACATCAGAACTGGCTTACTTGTTTTTCAGCTGTTTGTACAGTAACTTACTGTGTCCATGGCTGCAGCACACAGAAGGTACTGGGTCAGGTTTAGGCCACACTGCACATCACTTTAGCCAAAGAGGAGGTCAGAGAAGTTGGTGAAACGCTGGATGTGGGGTATGAATATCTTAAAGAGACAAACATCCCCATCTGCTGGATAACCACAAGAAGTACAAATAAATATCTGTCCTTGACCAACTAGAATCAAAGACTTATTTAAAATATTCTTCACTCATTAAATGCCTAAAAATATATTTTTTACACCTCAAGTGTACTAAATTGTAAATTAACTGCACTGTATATCATTTTTACACTTCCATTAAACACTTAAAGAGCCCTAAATACACCACTATGTGCACACACAACGTGACTATAGGGTTTTTGTGTGTGGTTTTTTTTTCTTCTTTTATTTTTCTGCCAACTGGCAGAATGTTGTACTGTTGCATTTTGGGATTATTTTGCACACGCAAATTGTGTGAGAAAAAATAAATCAATTTGGAAGAAAACATTCCCTGTTCTCTGGACTAAAGAAGAAAAAGACCACCCAGCTTGTTAGTAGTGCTCACTTACTGCATCTCTGAGCTTTACTGTTTGTCAAACCTTTAGACATGGCAGCTTGCTCATTTGAAAAGGTACCATCAATTCTGAAAGGTATATACAAGCTTTAGAGCAACATACATTCTCTTACAGATCAGGGCCCGTATCCCTAAAGAATCTTTGTGCAAAAAGTGGCTCCTAGCGGCCAAATTCTAAGAAAATTCTCAGAGTCATGACGTTTTCTTAGAATTTCCCCTAAAAGTGACACGACTATCCCAGTTAATATAAAAGCTATTCCTCAAGATTCCTAGCGCTTAAAAGGGCTCCTAAGGCAAGATCTGCTAAGAGCAGGGAAGAGGACTATAAGTGGCTTAGGAGTTCCCCTAAGCAGCTGCACAAAATGGCCAACAGAAGAGGCAGGAGAGATGTCCTGCAAACACTGGATGACAGGGAATTATTGAGACGCTACAGATTGGATCGTGCAGGAATCATGTTTGTGGTGGATCTCCTTAGAGATGCAATTACTTCACCAACTCGACGCCACAACGCTATTACACCGGAGACGAAAGTAATCACAACCCCGAGGTATTTGGCAACCGGGAAAATGCAACAATGCAGCAGTGATGACTTGGGTCTGCAATCACAGACATTGCTAAAAGCTGAGCCGTGTTACCCTCGTTAAGACCACACTGGACTTGTAACGTTGTGATTTCTACTTCATTAAGGACAGCCTCTTGAGATAGGCCATCTTGTTTTCAACGGGGTCCATATGGGAGTGAAAGTACAAAATATGCCAGCTAGGATATTTATATGAGCAAATAAGACACAAATCATTATTTGAACAGGGTGTAATGAGTTTAAGTTTTCACATATTTTAGATTCTAATGTTAGGCTATAACCCCTACAGCTTACTATTCATTTTCCAGATATTTTCTTGAATGTGAAATATTATTTACAATTACAGTCAGCATAAGATTAGAGTATATAATATGTTTATTGATTTGAGGGTACATCCTTTGCTCATTATCACCAAAAGCTCATTTCTATCAAACTTGTAGGATCAACCAATCACGGCTTTTGAAATGATGACTCATACCTAGCAACGGGGTCAACCACACCTCCTCACTAAGATAGGATTTTCCATCCATTCCTTGCTCAGAGTTCACTGAAAATGTTCTGGAATCACTTCTAAGCTAAAACTCCTGGCAAGGAATTTTTAGGTTAAGTTAGGAGCTCTCTGAGAGGATTCTCAGAATCTTTAGGGATACGGGCCCAGATCTTTTTCACTGAAGACGTTATTTTAGCAAGATAATCCTAAACTGTACACTGCATCTATTATAACAGCATTGCTTCATACTCTTGGTGATGAAGACTTGCCCCAACCTATTTTTAAGATGTGTGGACAATATCTTTATAAATATATTTCTCAGTTTTAACATTTCACATCTTTGGGTTTAATAGATTTATAAATTGTTGCATTCTGTTTTTACTTACATTATACTCAGTCTCTCAGCCTTTTGCAGCACTTTGACCAGGACGGACATCACATTAGCAGTTCACATCCTAGACGTTTCTTGCTCAGGCAAATGTGAGTTATGGCTAAATTGTCCTTTTTCTTCTGAGCTTTAAACCAAATGAAATCTCCCAGAAGTTTCTGAGTCTCACCCATGATAAAAACTCCAAATATTAAGCAATGGTGCTTTAATTATTATTATTATTATTGGTCCTGTGGTTTAGGACACATTGGACCATTCTTTTGAAAAGGAAAGGAAATGATAATAATTTGCTAATAACATCTGAGTCTATTTGTTACAGAAAAGCGTAGATTCAAAAGGTCTGATTATAGTAAAATGGTTCAACCACAAATGTGTCAACCTACTGAAGACATCAAATATATAAAAGCAAAGCGCTTTACATTGTAGCCACAGCTGCCCTGGGGCGCACTGACAGAGGCGAGGCTGCCGGACACTGGCGCCACCGGGCCCTCTGAC